CAACATATATACATTAGACCTAAACTTGTTCGTTCTGTTTTTTTTCTTTTGTTGACTAAATCAATGATGTGGCCACAAAATCGTTTAAAAGTTTTACAAAAAAAGATTTTAGCAGCATATTTAAAAATTAATATGAACAGCTTTTTATAATATAAATTACTTGTCATTAAATAGTTATTACAATCACCTACTCATAAGATATGCCATCATAAAATATTGAGAATGTTAGGTGTTTGTTAGGTAAGAAATTTTAATTTTAAAACTTGGAATTCAGGCCAAGTTTGACCCGCGTGCATAACGTACACACTTAAACACACACACACACACACACATATATATATATATGTATATATATCTATATTACGTACACATGATAATGTATGAACTCTTGCCTGCCTAGCTACTGACAAGCGTCGTCCAAGTTGACAAAGATTATCCAACAAAACAAAACAATTCAATTTATATATTTTATGAATAGGGTTATCAGGAAGCTATGCAGGTACAACCAGAAAACCCTCCTATCCTAACCTATTTATGAGGATATTATGGAAAAATCAAACAAAACTTCTTGTGGCCTAATCATGTTTATCAAACTATTTCCAACACAATTTGCACACTCTGTTTCTTTTTTCCCCCTTAATTAGTATTTCCGGAAAAGTTACAGGTGAAATTAAGCTGTTGGTGCACTTTACAGAGCATAAAGTATGGAATTAGATGTAAATAATTGAAGTGGGTTCATATGCTCAGAATCTTACCCTGGAACTCTCTGATAATTGCCATCATCGATATTTTTTTCCAACACTCAAACACACTTTTTAGAGAAAATATGAAGCCTTTTCTTATTGGCGGTGCTTATAATTAGTAGTCCGAAATATTTTTTTATTAAATCTATTTATATTTGCTGAGGTAATTACGTACTAGTTATAAGGCACAGACAAATAATAATATCCCCTCAGCTTTCTGTGCATTATTTTAAACTTTCTTTTAATTATCTCCATTACGTATGCTGTATCTTTATACATATATTTGACCCAAATACTTCAATTGTTATTTATTTTGGTTGCAAACTGAGGTTAAATGCTCTCTGCAACCTCAAACATTCTCCTACTTTTTAATATTTACACATTTTCTTTCCTTTCAAGATACATTAAATATTGGGCAAATATTTTCATAACATGATTATCACAAATGATGAAGCTAGACAATTGTTTATTGTAACAAATAAACTATTTTTTTTAAAAAATTAAATATTTAATTGCAATAATTAAAAATTAAAATACCGAATGATAAAAGAATCACATATGGACTAATTTTGAATTAAAGCTTGAAATTTTTATTATAATAAATATTTACTGAATCGCCAATTCAGTTATCCTCCTTCAAGATCCAATTGGTGCTTCTCCTTGGCGTTTAGATAGTTAGATGGAGCCGCTCACACGCAGGAGTCAGGAAGAAAAAGTAGAACTAAAAAGGCAGCATGAGTCTCTTTGTGAGTGATTTTCCTTTTCTTTTGAAAGAAACGAAAAAGAAATCAATTGGGCGTGTGGTAGAGCCTACATTATTATTGTATATATCTACACGCGTCGGGAAGTAGTTTTTTTTTTTTTTTAAATTTAAGGAGATGGATCCCACCAACCCTTTTCCAGGATTTCCTTGTCATTTCCGGATCTTTCCAAATTAACAGACGATACTTTGTAATGTAAAAACCTGCAGATTATAAATTGCGTTCACCAAAAAATATACCTTTATTCAATGAAGTGGAGAATACTTGCCAACAATAGCTTTCTTCAGAATATTTAGCAACAAGGTTCAAATACATGCTCGAGAATGTTCCTCACAATTTCCACAATTTCCTCTTCTTTGCACGAGGTTACAAATTTCACTGCAGCCGTATGCACAATAACAAAACTATATCGATCAGTCTAAAACTTCTTGTCATTCAACGCCAGCATGTTGCTAGTTGAAGAGCAGCAAAATAGATTCTTTTTTTGGATAAACAAATGAAATGGATTGGTATAGCAACCACCCTTGTAACTTCTACCATGTATAATCAATAATTAGATCAGATCAAGAAAGCTTTGAATAGGATCTATCAATTACTACCCTCAAGCTTCTGCTTCTCCAATACATATACTCAATTTTTTAAATATGCTAAAAAAATTGGAAGATGGAGAAAAGGTTTACACACAGCGGTATATGTAAATTAGCCTAGCATCTTTTTTTTTCTTGTGAGTAAAATTAGCCTGGCATCTATGACTTCCTAGGCTGGCGATCTAATTAAGTTAATTATCTCAATCCAGTATATAGTAGGAAACAACAACTTTCTTAGGGAGAGAGAGGAGGATGTGGAAGTCGACGAAAGGCATAAGCTGTGGCATTATATTAACCACTTAACTACAAGATAAAAAATAATAAATAATTGGACGAACTAAAGAAATCTTTCTATCCCAAAGAAAAGGAACAAACAACTTGGGTAAAGTAGGTGAACGCAGGAAGAGCGTCAGACTTCCTTGAAAACAAGATAACTGAAAATGGAAATGGTGGGTTAAAGTGGGGCCTTTTGAATTATGATCATCCATTCATCCTCATCAACAAACCTAACAAGTGATTCAGTATCCTGTCTTTCTCTCTTTGCATAACGACAATTATATTCGATAGACAGGCTGTGGGCTTTGGAAATCCCCTCCTACCATCATCCACTTTAATGGCGAAAGTCTTTTACTCCCTTACCCATGACATACGCACGCGTTATTTTCTCTTCTTCTCTTAATATGTTCGCTGTAAAAGGCACTGGTTATATCGTATGCTACCTCACAGAAGGACCGTAGCGGGGACACCTGACAACCTATACCTGCCCGCAAACCAAATAGTGGTAGTGATACACAATGTTGATTTTAGGAGACAAGTGATTGTGGGAGTAAATCTTAAGCTGCCAGAAGTTCTAAAAGGGAAAATGAAATATGATTTTTTTTTTTAAATCTTTACTTTTTTAAATTTATGTTATATATGTTTGTCTCTGAAAATATATACAACATATGTTTATAAAATAATAAAGTATAAATAAAATTACTTTTTTAAATACCAAATCTAATACTTTTAAAATTTTAAATTTTCATCATCATCATTGTTATTTTTACATAATTGACTAATTCATATATATATACACGTATATATCAGTATAAATTGCTCATGTTGAAATGAACCTAAGAAAATGTTTTTATGCAGTAAAAAATTTAGCAATTCGGAGGTTCTTGCACAGTACCATTGTGGCATAAAGAGCACGAGGGCTCTGCACCGTGAACAAACATGATCATGAATCTTTAACTGAAATAAAGCAACTCAATGAAAGGTAGAAATAGGCTTTCTCAAGCCATGTGAAGGAATCTTCAGTAGAAAAGCAAAGAATCCAATTCTAATTTTTTATAAAAAAGTTGCTTGATAGCCCTTTTTTTCAGCTTGTATATGTTCACTGACCGTGACCCTGTTGGCTATGGTATTATTTACACAATACTGCGACTAGGAAGAGAAAGGGCAACTTCAAGCCTCTGAAAGAAAGGAAAAGATGGGGGCCATATAGATAAGATTCAGTTCTTACAGCTTGATGAGTTAACGGGGAGGAATCTAAAGCAGAGATTGGGTGAAACAGAAGGCAGTGGCATGAGTTTCTTGCCATCTAACAGTGACAATTATTTTAAAAAATGAATGCTGTCAACAGCGATCCTCAATGATTTATTTAGTGATTATACCCTGGACCACTGGATGTAGAAATATGTTATGGACCACAAATTTGACGATCTAAACTGGCCGGTGGTCAAGAGTCGATTTTAATGGCCATGCAGAAGAAGATGATTAGATTGAATGGACAAGTTCTCAGAGTACAGGGGCAAGAAGATGTTTTTCTATAATCAGACACCCGTTAATCGGGGTTAAATTGGCACAAAGGTGCTCTGAGATTTTAAAACTTCAAATAGTCACTCTCTCCCTTCAACATGTGAAAAATGAAACACATGGGCCGGATATCCACGACAGTCTTATTACATCAGAGGCTCACAGAGACCCGTGCTTTAAAGCCCAAGTGTAAATACATCAACTAGACACTACAAGACACCAATGCATTTAAAAAAATATGTATTCCAAGCGGCGACTAAAATCATGGACTTATGAGCCTATATCTTAGCCCAAAGGCAGAGAAATAAACAATTATTTTTAAAAGAGTTAATAAAAAATATATATTTATTGTAACTTTTATAATTTATATTATTATATGTATATTATTAATTTTATGTGGATACGATTAAAGTATTTAAGTACATTTGTTGAATTAAAAAAAGAGTTTAAAAAGTAATTTTAGGAAGTAGAAAATAAATATCTGACTCTTAACGTCTTCGATTCTTCAATTTTTATCTAACCATTTCAAGTAATAATCCTATTTGGTATTCTCCTAAAATTGACAATTATAATAATAATAAGAATAATAATAATATTGATAATAATAATAATAATAAAATATCCTACTAGTTTAAGCATATTTCTCTCCTCAATACTAAATATTCCCTAGTTTTGCCTTTTTTTTTTTTTTGTCAAAACAAGTTATAGTTTGACATTTATAGTTTGACAAAAAAAAAACAAAAAACTATTTTGATAAGTTTGATTGATTTTGCGTAGAGGAATCGAAAAAGAGAACATATACCTCAAAAGCAGTTCCAGCTTTTGAAGAAATTCATGTTGACCTGTAATAATTTTTTTATTTATATAAAATCCGTACCTTCAAGTTTTGTTTCAATTAGCTCCTATTCTTATATTTAACATCGTTTAATAAATGTCAACGTGATAAATAATGTAGTCTCGTAGATATCATGTTTTTGAAAATGACCATATAAGAATAAGAAAATGTCATAAGTGAAAAGGTAAAAAAATGAAAGAATGAAAAAAAAATTAAATAGAGACAATTTACCAGTATGACAGCTATGTGGCAATCACGTTGATAAATTTTAAAAAATGGTTAGCATGCTAGCCATGTGGCAGACATACTAGTTATATTTGGAAATATAATGTTCACGTAATAACAACATCTGTCACGTAGTTAAATATGCTGTTAACAATAAGAGTTAATATAAATAAAATTTGAAAATATATGTTATATATTAAACCAAAAATTACTATAAAGATTAATATGAATTTTTTGAAAAAGTACAAGTGCTTTTAAGGTATATATCCTAGAAAAAATATAACAAATACTTGATTTTCAACTTTTAAAATTTTCACTAGTACCAACTAGAATAACTCATTCCTCATATGATCATCATTCAAATGAATGTAACATTTTGTGAGATTGTATTCATTTAATTCAATGGATCAATATTTAATTGTTTGTGAATTATTTAGTTTAAAGAGGCATTACCATATATCATATAGAATTTTAACAATCAGAAAATGAATTTTTTTGAGAGATCAGTTATTCTAAAATTTTGAATGCCTAATGACGTTATATAATTGTAGGATAAATAACTTTTTGTTAATAGAACATATTCAAAACTCATTTTGATATCAGCAAATAGTAATAAAATCGTTTATTAGAAAAAATAATTTCATCTTATCTTGTTGTATTTATTTTAAATTTTTAGATGTGTATACAATTTTAGGTCATTAATAAGAGGCAATTAATACCCAAATGCCTCTGCTACACCATCAAGCATGATTGGTTTGGCTAAAAAATAGAAAGCATTCTTGGACACCCAAAAACGTTGAAGTCAAACCACCTAAACAAAATCAATCTAACTCTAATATAACTAGCAGCAAGAAGGTTCGAGAAGAGCCTAATGAATTCTAGGATAGTTTAACCTTTGGAAAAAGTAAACCATGAGGTCAATTATATTTTATCTGCTATTAATTCATCAACAACTTTTATCTCCTCCACGTGTTTTCCATCCATCTCCTATCAAACAAACATTAAGTACTAGGCAGGCAGGATACTAACAAAATAGCATGTGACAACTATTTCATGGTTTCTTGGTGCTATTTCCCTTGATTTGGTAAGGAAACATCATGTAGAACGCAAGTAAGAAGAAACAACTTATGTATATTATGGAAAACTCAACTAGGCCTCAGTCACCAGGAATCGAACTGATGCATTTATAGGGTATCTAATGTTTGCATGCAATTGGAACTCCTTGAATCATGAGGCATCATGGGACTTTAAACCATAATCATTAAAAAAGTATCATCACTAATTGAAGGACACTTAAAACTGAAACCTTACCCCAAGGAAGAACTGGGAATTCCAACTCCTGTCTAGGCACCGTTATCACATATGATGCTACCTGCCAAAGATCAAAACTCTGCTCAAATGATCTAATATTTTAAGATTTGCTAACTTATAGCTAATGCAGTGGAAAATCCAATTTAAACTTGCCAAAATAGATGCAGCTAGAGAATGAGGAGAACTATAAAGAATAGCTGTCTTCTCCTTTTCATAAAGAAGATCCATCAGATCCATGCAGACCTCAAAGCTCAAGATTTCCCCAATCTTTGCCATTCCCCTGAAATGAGAAAATATAAAAGACGTATAAAGAAGAACTAGTGACGTGTTAATATGAATGAACTAATTTAGATATGTTTCTTCATGTGTTTTCCAAGAGTCATTGACCTGAAACCTTTCAAAATGCTGACGAAGAAACTTACTTTAACTGAATATAGAGCTCTTCAAGGAAAATAAAAGCAATTTTAGATGTACCAATCTCAAAATTCAACACCTGTTTAGCATTTGAAAGAGGGAATAACTGAGTTGAACTTTAATCGTGGAGAAAATGTTCCATGTTTTGTGAGATTTACCTGCATTAAGACAATCTCCTGCAAAATATT